GTGTGTGTGTGTGTGTGTGTGTGTGTGTGTGTGTGTGTGTGTGTGTGTATACAGGTCTTTCCTACCTGTATATTCTGCATTTGTGGATTCAATCAATCACAGATTGAAGATATTTGAAATACATGGATGATTGCATTTGTACTGAATATGCACAGACTTTCTTTTATGTCATTATTTCCTAAACAATACAGCATAACAAATATTTATGCAGCATTTACATTGTATTGGGTATTATAAATTATCTAAAAGTGATCACAAATATTTCAGCATTCATAGATTTCCTAGAGGGGTCCCAGAACAAATCCCCCATGGATACTGAGGGAGGACTATACATAGTCTCCAATTTACAATGGTCAACAATTTTTCAAATTTACTATAGTGCAAAAGTGATACCCATTCAGTAGAAACTGTACTGTGAGCACCTATACATTAATTCTGTTTTTTACTTTCAGTACAGCATTAAATAAATTGCCTGAGCTATTCAACCTTTTTTTTTTATAAAATAGGCTTTGTGTTAGATAATATTGCCCATCTTTAGACTAATGTGAGTGTTCTGAGTATGTTTAAGAAAGGCTAGGCTCGTCTATGATGCTCAGGGGGTTAGGTGTATTAAATGTATTTTCTGCTTACATATTTAGCTTTCAGTGGGTTTATTAGGGCATAACCTGATGTGTAATGGATTACAAAAATCGTCTTCAAACATCTAGAATTTCATGAAATGATGCAACCTACACTGAATGGATTTATGGTCCTCCAATGACGCTCTTTGTTTGCTGTCTTTTAGAAGTATTCCAGAATGAATAAAGTAACAGAAGTATACCACACATTTAATCTAATTAAAATTTTACATTCAAGATTAAATCAGATAGTATTGATGTAAACAAGGAATGAAAGCTGTCTGAACCATTGTAGAAAGCATAGCTTGCCTAAGTAGCCAGTACATAGACCGAGAGATAAACATTTACCCAGCTTTGGCATTTACATTGACCTTCAATATATTGTGTGTATATATGTGTGTGTGTGTGTGTGTGTGTGTGTGTGTGTGCGCGTGTACACACACATATGTGTTTGTGTATGTGTATATATACACACATATGTATATATGTATGTATACATGCACTATATAAATATAATACGAAGAGGACCTCCAAAACAGAAATATATACATATATTTGGAGGACAGGCCCCTTGTAGTACAGGCTTCCCCCACAAGGTAAGTGTTCTAGGAACTCATCAGCATCAGTGTACCAGCTATCATTTTTGTAAGAGGCTGCATGTGGCTTCAGCGAATTTTTTTTGGACAGTCTTTCAGTGTGTTTGCTCATTTCATGATTGGTGATTTACGAGTGCACCTGCCCACAATGTGCTGAGTGTTCAGCCGTGTTTGAACAAAAACTGCGTGGCCCTTGTGCCCCACCCTCCCTATTCACTCAATCTCACCCCAAGCAACTTTTTTTGTTTCCCCAGATTAAAAAAGTCCTTAAAGGTAAAAGTTTTGCTGATGTGGAAGAGGTGAAACAAAAAACGGCAGAAGCACTAAAAGGTATCAAAATGGAGGAGTTCAAAACTGGAGCAGTGGAAAAAGCATCTCGATAGGTGTATTGCATCAAATAGAGAGTACTTTGAAGGTAACTAAAGTTTAAATATCTAAGAACAAATACACAATTTTTAATAAACCACTTCTGGCTTTTTGGGTTCCCCCCTCACAGAGGTTATGTTTTTTTTTTTGAGTTGGAGTCTCACTCTGTCACCCAGGCTAGAGTGCAGTGGCATGCTCACAACCACCGCAGCCTCAACCTGCTGGGCTCAGGTGACCTTTCCGCGTCAACCTTCCAAGTATCTGGAACCACAGTCACACACCACCACGCCCTGCTAATTTTGTTTTTGATTTATTGTAGAGATGAGGTACTACCAAGTTGCCCAGGTTTGGTCTTGAATCCATGGGCTCAGGCAGTCCTCTCACCTCAGCCTCCCAAAGTGCTGGGATTATAGGTATGAGCCATGGTGCCTGCCCAGTTATAATATTTTTAAAAGTGGGAATTTTATGGAATGTGAAGACCTATTGTTTGAGAGCATATTTCAAAAAACGTGCAGTATTTCTCTGTTTTTCATGCTACTGAGGTATCTTAGTATCAAGGTGCTTGACCCATGTCCAGGGATATGTAGATTCTGAAAGGAAATATTCTTACAGAGAAAACTTAGGAAACATTATAAATACAAATATAAATTAGCTGTCAATCAGATATTAAAATGAATTTTTAAGAAGAATTTATCTACTTTAAAAGAGAGTAAAGATGATTCTTCTACTAAATGATGTGAGAGTGTAATTGGTTGATGAGGGTATAAAGAAACAGTAATAAAAGGAAAATGCATTTAATTTTGACTTGTCACTTCCAGCTTTATAAATTGGTTTATTCCAAATGAAGACTCACAGTTTTCAAAATTAAATTATCTTATTTTTTAATGTATTTAATTTTTTCTTCTCCAACCAATTTATGTGGCTCTTTAAATATACCAGTCAGTGGGCAAAAGCGTAACGTATGTGTCTCCTGTATATGTTTTAACATTAAAAGTGCAGCATCATATTTGATGAAGTTGCATCACGTTGCCATCAACTTGCAAACCTGGGGGAGCATTTGGCTCTAGGCGTGTCTTCCTCAGATGAACACATGTTTAGATGAAATTGGGCTGGGATGACCAAATTTTATTTCCACCATGGCCTTTTTTAACCACATGTAAAGCTAACCACATGTGAAGCTCCTTCTTTCTCTTTGAGAAAACCTTAACAAGCTTCTCCTCATCTTGGAGAGCCATTAGCTGTCTTCAGTCAATCCTGCCTCCAAGTGCAGGGACTCACCACGATCTTGTTCCTCACACGGATGTGCCCAGCTGGGTAATGGGAAAGCTCAACTAGGTGCATTTTGGGATGTGAGAGTATCATGCCCTGACATGAAATGCATTGAGAAGATTGCTTTGTAGGTGCCTTGAAGGGAAAGCGCAGTGAGAAAAGCATTTATCTAGGGAAGGTAGGAGAGTAGGATGTGATGGTTCTCAGAGTGGTGTCTTCAAACCAGCAGCAATAGCAGTGGCACCTGAAAACTAGTTAGAAATGCAAATGACCAGGTGCCACACCAGACCTGTTGCATCACAAGACCTGTTGCATCACTGTCCTTCAGGCAATTTTTAAGAATCAAAAGTTGATGGAGTCATTCGCTAGAATACCAGCAATGCCTCTTTCTGCCTGTGTGATTGCCAGCAAATTTCCTCCCTTCTCTGAGTCTGAGGTTCTTTATATGTAAATGGTGATAATTAAACTTCCATTGACAGGCGCTATCAAATATGCTGTATATTATGCCAATACATTTATAGGAAATTATGCCTTATATAGAAAGTCGGATGTGAGAATGAAGACCTTCCTGCCTCTGTGTCGATGAAAGCATCCATCTAATAGCTGTCAGGTATCGAGGAGAGGGTGACAAACCCCATAAGTAGACTCAACAAGGGAAATAATTCAAAACAACTCCACTCCTGTGCTTCTTCACTGACTCAGAATATAAAATTAGAAGAGAAAAAGGTGTGAAGCAATGTTTTTGTGTTACTGTGTGAATCCAGTCCTGGTGAGAGGGGACTTCAAATTATGTGACCCCTGCAGTTGACAAGAGAGTCTCCTGGTGCCTGCCTCAGGCTGGAAAAAGTTGCAACAGCCTTTTGCTGCTGTGTTGAGCTGGGTTTGCACACTCCCAGAGTTTACTGAAATGAGGACTGGATAAGGGTTTTATCATGCCGTGTGGGAAAGAGAGAGCTGAGAGCGGGTTGCCAATAGATCTCTCTAGAAGTTCTGCCTGGGGGACATAGGGACACAGCACCAGGAAGGTGGAGGTGGACACTGGCTTCCCAGGGAGAAGTTGCACACAGTCTCCCAGAAGAGACACTCGCCTACCAGATCAGAGGAACAGAAGGAGAGAAGTCCCAGCAAAACTGGTTTTCAAAAGAATGCTCTAACGTGTTCATGGGAGAAAGAATCTGTTCCAAACATCTGCCAGACAGAGAGTGAGAAACCACCTTGGAGCAGTACAGTGAAAATGATTTCTGTCTTTTATCACTCTTGCTTCTCCAGCTCCAACATTGGAGGAGTCACAGCTCACTAAAAGTTGGGGGTGGGAGAAGGGAGGACTGGATAAGAAATAGAAAAGCTGAATACAGCCTCTTTTCTACCCTAAGTCAAGCTGTAGTTGCGAAGGAGACTGTGGTGTTAAGTCAAGTTTGCACTTTTGATTAATATTTTTCCCAACATTCTAGCTTCTGAATTGGGACTCTTTGTGACTTAAATGACTCTAACATTGTCTAGCACCTAAAAGTGAATAAAATAGCTTTGGAGAGTTTTTCTTTAGGACAAATAAAAATTATTCTTCCTATAGCTCTTAAAGGGCCAAAATTAACCAAGGAGACAAATTAGAGTTGATTGTGGCACAAGTTAATCTTGTTTGATACACATAAGTGTGTGTAACCACACACACACACACACACACACACACACACACACGTCTGATGCTAAAGATAATAATGGCATCTATTATTAGGAAAAATAACATTTTGACTTTTTTTCTGCATACTTAAACTACAGTATAGTGTTAACATAACTTTAAATTTTTTTTTTTTATTTTAAAGATGTGGGGTAGTAAGGTTTTACTGTCAGATTTTCTGGGGTTAAGTATAAAGTCAAGTTTACCAAAATGCAATATTTTATTGAACACTAACGTGAACCACCACAGGTTTCTGGCAGCAACAGTGTTTTCATAGATTCATAGAATGAGAGGGCTATCAAGTAGCTGAGAGATCTTCAGGTGACAAAATAATGAACTTAGAGGTTCTCAAGCCTGGGAGATACCTGGATGGCAGGACATCTGCACTTCACAGGGCACCTTCACATGGCATATTTTGGGAGCTGTGCCCTCGGCCTTCTGAGGGTATAGTCATCCCTGTGAATGGTCCTCAAGGCTTTGCCCAACTGAAAGTTCAAATCCTCTCCAAGTGGGTGATGCACTATGGTTAATTATAAAACAGTGAACTCTGCTTCTTGTTGGAAACTATTCTGCTTATGAACAACTAAGATCACTAAAACATTTTTACTTACACTATCGCAAGATTGGAGATTCTTGTTGCATGTCTAAGATACAATCTTCAAGGCCTCAAAGGGGAAATCTGTCCTCTGTCTTTATGGCAGCCTTTCATTACTTTGGGAAAGCAAATGGGTTCCTCTTGAGCCTAGTTTTTCTAACACTTTTCCATCTGAATTATTTATTTCGTCCTTCCTATTCTGATCTAAACATGTTCTAGTTTATACTACAACTGAATGATCCTTCTTAGAGTGAAGTCAATGCTCCAAAAACCCAATTACTATTTCTTTGTCTCAGATAAGAAATAAAGAGACCCAATGAAAGCGTTGACATATCTAAAGCTAATTTTTTTTCCAACTTTGTTTGTCACAATAAGAGCAGACATGGTAACCTTCCTGAAATCTAGCTCTGGGTTTTTATTCACCTTTCCATCATCACTGCAAGATGCAAAGCACAGCCTCCAACATCTCTCTGTTCCTTTGGTTGAGAGGAATTCGTTTCCCAAAGGTAGACCTTTATGCTTCCTTCTGTGTTTGGCATGGTTTCTAATGAGCACACACCTGACCCAACTGGATCCTAGCATAAGCCAAGCATCCAATGGGCAACTTTTCCTTAAAAGACTCACAGTGGGGGCCAGTTAGCACTGATTGTCAGTGGCTGGTGTGGGCTGATGGGTCAAGGTGTATTCCAGCTATGTGGAAAATGACATGCGTCCAAGGAAGCATCATACCATGAATTCAGTCACTCGGTAATAAAAGTGATCATCCCTCAACCTTATGGGATGCCAGGAATTTTCAAATGCATTCTTCCCTTTTAATATTTTAATTCCATCATAAATAGATATATGAGGATAAGCAGAGAAATATCTATTGATTTGTTGAGCATTTACAGGCTGGCTACTATGTGTCAGGTGCCATAATGCAAATTTACATGTCATACTCACAGTCATACCCAGAGGTCAGTAGTATCACTTTTATTTTACAAAGGATAAACCGAGGCTTACAGAGAATAGGTGACTTGTCAGGGTCACCAAACTGATCATGGGTACAGTCATGCATCCAGCTCAGCCTCAATTTGACTTCAAGTCCAGGCCCTTCCACTATACACTGCTGTTTTAGTTATCTCTTGTGGCATAGCAATGCGATTCAAGATTAGAAGCTTAAAATAACACATGCTGATTATCATTTTACAGTTTCTAAGGGTTAGGTATCCAGGAGTGAATCAAGAGGTCTTGGTTCAGAGTCTCCCATGAGGCTGCATTCAAACTGTGGGCCAGGGAAACATCATCTTAGGGCTTGACTGGGGGGGGGCGGAGAATCCTTTTCTAAGTGCATTTGTGTGGTCCCTAGCAGGTCTCCCTTCCTTACTGCCTGTTGTCTGGAGGTCTTCACACAGGCCTTTCCACAGGCTGCCAGAGTGCCCTTATAGCATAGCAGCTGGCTCTGCTGAGCGCATGTGATGAGAGGAAGAGAAAGAGAGAGGGAGCACGAGAAAAAGAGCCTGCAGATGAA